ATAAAGATGTTCATAATGGTGCGCAATATTATTAGTACTTTATAAATTTAGATGCGTTTTTGAGAAATCGGAAATAGCGTAAATTAGTACTTCCCGTCAACGGAAATTACTCAAAATTTAACAGAAGGTAGAGAATTAGATCTTTTATTTACATGTGAAATTTCATAGTACTATCTGAAATAGTACTCAAGTTATAGGCTTTTGAAAAATTCAAAGTAGAAAAAGTACCACTTCCGGTTATCGGAAATCACTCAAAAGTTGATACGGATCTACGATTTTGATAAAATACTTATATATGAAATTTCATCAACCTAGCTGTAACGGTACTCAAGTAATCGTATTTACACACACACACACACACAGACATACGAACAAGATTGCAAAATTATGTTTTTCCGTATCAGTGAGGTGTAAAAAGTCGAGATTTGTAAAAATCTCGATTTTTTTTTTACACGATTACAATACTTTCTCTATACTACGTATATACGAGAAAGTAAAACTAAAATATTAATTTACTATGACCAACATTATTTATATTTTAATGGTCAAATAAAACATGGTTTACCCGTAACTTACAATTACAAAAGTCAAAAAACATTACCAGAAAATTTCCTATGCCAAACTAAGGTATTATCAAATAATATTAGATTCTAATTCTAGGCCTAATAAATTAGTAATACATTTATTAAGTTATTGAAGTTATCAATGACATGATGGACTCTACACTACTCAGTTGTGACTACTGACTGAACTGAGTATAGTCACTATAGTGTATACTATTATATTGACTAGACTAGTCTACCTACTCGGTACGACTAATGTCCATTAGTTTAGTCTCATTAGTCTATATTAAATTACAAATGCTGGTAATCTATTGCTAAACAACTGAATTGTTTAAAAACAGGTACATGAGTGACAGTTTTTAAACATTTTTGTAATTGTTAAAACATAAATCTTTCTAAAAAGTGAAATAATTATAAAAATTTGATGAGTCACCCTTTTTTCACAGATTTTACGTACCTAAAACGATACCAACTACTAAATCTTAATATTAAAAATAAGTAAGTACCTCTTGTACTATTGTTACTGTTATTGAATACTATCCCGTGAGTGAAAAACCCCACCACTGCCAGCGGGGCCACTGTTCAGCAGGCCTAAAGCATATGTCATAGAATGAACATAAGTTCACATGATTGCCTGAGATAAAATATTATAGATAATAGATCGCCATTTATGGTTAAATCAATTTAAATATCCTGAAATTGACTTTTATCAACCCTTTTATCAAATATCATCTATAATGATTAGTGGTGGGGGGGGGGGGAATCGACCACAGAGATATGTAAAAAAACGAATGAAAGCTGGAAGCAACCGAAGCCGTTACAGAAAACTGTATTATTTAAATAATTAAGGATGTTTTGATAGTAAAAGCCAACCGCTTAGCCTTCAGTTAGGCCTAAATGTATCACTAATGAATGACGTCATTCTTTTACAGCGTGTCTTCCTCCCACAACCATCCCCAGTTACCACCAAAAAAAAAAACAACCTGACTCTTCTCAAAAATCAAATCGCTGAGTTCTACTCAACCTCTCCCCACCACAAATCACAATTTCTATCTAAAACAATAGGTTCATAATTATATTTGTTCTGTAATAGTGCATGCTGTCTTAACCCCGTAAAAGCGACGTCATTTAGGGATGGTTGGATTACTGCAAAAAGTGTTCAAAAGTTCGACCTCCCAACAATCGTTGTGGTCTTGGATGCAAACTATTAAGTCTGAAAAGGTCTATTGGTTATTCATTTAAACTATATTGGAAAAAAAAACGACAAATTACTATACAGGCATATATTAAAACAATACAAAACAGCCATATTAAATAAAAAAATCAACACAACAAACATGCGAATAGACAATGTTTCAAGGGTAACTACTCTATTATTGTTTTTGAAACATGGCCGCTGCTAGTAGTTACTCATTGTTGTCTCGAACAGGGTAGTTTAAAGTTTATTCCAGGATATTTTTGACTGGTTTGGTCATGAATTTTGATTTTTTATTCTATTATCTGTTATATTATGTAAATATGTCATAAATACGGCCAAATGAAACAAATATTCACTAGTTACCTCCACCGCACATTACTAGCTACGTTGGAATTTACGACGCTAAACTAAGCCTAAGGTTTTACCGCTTTTTTTACAAGTAGGCTACTAGATCTAGATTCTTAGGTGTTGAAATAATACATTAAAACTAGATCTAGATCAACATTAAATTGCTAACATGAAAAAAAAATCGGGCAGTCCTGATATCTATTTTTTTTTTAGATCGCGTGCCACCTAGGATAAAGATTTAATTACGTAACGCGGAGCGAACCGTGCAAATGCAGCCAAATGAATAAGTACTAGTTTACTTGACGGACTACTAACTATAATAACTAAACTAAGTGGTAAGTAGATCTAGATATCTATTAAAATTCTAGATTCTAGTTTAATATTATATTAATTATTAGGCCAATACCAGACCAGCCTGCGCCGATTTTTTTACGCACCAAAACTCCTAAACCTAAAACAAACAATGAATGGACGCAAGCGAGAAAAGTCTCGAGAGGTCCATAAATTAATTTAAAAATCATGCACGGCCTAGTTACAATTAATATGGTTATAAAATAAAATCCTGTCTGTCTGGTTTTTTTTGGACTTTAGGCCTACTAAAGATTGGATGTATTTGATGTTTTTAATAGTTTCGGTAACTAAATAAAATAAAAAAAAAAGCAAAAACAATTTGGTTTTCACGTGTAATGGCGACATAAACAATGGCATCCTGCTATTCGATAGGCCGCCAAAAATTCTAAAAATAGAAAAACTAAGTCATGGGGTTTAAATTTGCATTGTAATTAAAAAACTTGATCTGCAAAGTTTTGTAAACAAATAGTTATCGATCACTAAGTTACTGTACAGCCAATCAATATTTGTCTTACGAAAGTGAAACATCCGGTTATAACTTAGGCTTGATGAAAATAAATAGAAATGTAGCCTTAAGCGGCAACCTTAAACTTAAATTATTTTCAAGTCAATCAAGTTCTCTGGATTTGCAACTTTTATATATATTATAGCATAGGCCTATTCTAAAAAAATAAAATTTCTAAATTAATTTAAGGCTCAAGTTTTTATTTTTTTTTACGGTCTAAATCTAAAAAGCACATTTTTATTCCATGTCAACACAACATTTTTACACTACGGAAGGATTCTCGTCAACTCACTGTCACTGGTGTCCATTATTATTATTAAACTTAGGCCTATTTTTTATTATTTTATTAGATCTAGATATCTAGATCTAGATTTAGATGATAGAGATCTAAGATTTGATTACCCAAATGCCAAAAAAGAGTTTTTTTTGGTACTCCTTCCTAGATGAAACTAAGTATAATTTAAAAATAAGCCTATCAGATTTTTAAAGCTCTTCCAAACCTGAGTGACAGAATTTTCCCTAACCGGCCCAATTTTATTTTTAGTAAATGCGAATGCAAAACGGAAATAGATCTAGGGGCCTAATCCATTTTCCTTTTTTATCTTTTTTTTAATTCGATGTATTTACATTTTTAATTTTTTAATTTTCTTATATTTACTTTCTGGTAGTGATTGGCCTATAGGCTACGGAAAATATATAGAATCTAGGTTAAATTATGTAATCGTGCAAACAATCAAAATCGAGTCGAAAAACAACTTTTGCAATCTTGCCTTGGAAAAAAAATTAAACCTTGATAAAATGCCCAAGTTAAATCAACCACATCAAGTAATCCAATCCCCCCCCCGAAGAGATGCCTGGAAGAAACTCTGCTGGGTTCTGTTAATCAGTGTTTCAGATTTACCTTTGCACAACTGCCCCACCCCTCCCCACACTTGTACTACACATTTTTTGTTTGTTTTAATGCATTGCTGGAGTCAAATCAGCCTTAAGAAAAGATCTTGTTGTTTTCCTAGATGGTGTTGATGGTGGATGTTATAGGCAACATGTTAATATCTTGACACTTGTAAAAAAGAAAAAGACTAAAAAAAAAAAAAAAAAAATGTTAAGGGATGTAACTCATATAAATTTGAGGAAAGCGAGTTAAATTTTGTTATGTCCCTTCTCACGTATTATTCATAGCTCCTTGTAGACTATGTTTATAATTTTTTTGTACTGTATTTTCTTTATTTGTGTTAGTTAGACTTCCAATAGCTTTAGTTTGGTCTATTGTAGTCAAATAAAATAACAAAAACAAGTATCGGTGAATGACAAAAGTAACAAATACGGACGCTCTAAATCGTTTCTAGCCTGTAAACAGTTTTTCCAGCTGCCTGCCTGTTTCTAGCCTGTAAGCTGTACATGTCTAGCCTGTAAGCTGTACATGTCTAGCCCGTAAGCTGTACATGTCTAGCCTGTAAGCTGTACATGTCTAGCCTGTAAGCTGTTCATGTCTAGCCTGTAAGCTGTACATGTCTAGCCCGTAAGCTGTACATGTCTAGCCTGTAAGCTGTACATGTCTAGCCCGTAAGCTGTACATGTCTAGCCTGTAAGCTGTACATGTCTAGCCTGTAAGCTGTACATGTCTAAAGCTGTACATGTCTAGCCTGTAAGCTGTACATGTCTAGCATGTAAGCTGTACATGTCTAGCCTGTAAGCTGTACATGTCTAAAGCTGTACATGTCTAGCCTGTAAGCTGTACATGTCTAGCCTGTAAGCTGTACATGTCTAGCCTGTAAGCTGTACATGTCTAGCCTGTAAGCTGTACATGTCTAAAGCTGTACATATCCAGCCTGCCATCTGTGTATAACATGAGCTCTACTTCCTCTGGCTTAAGGTTGTCAAAGTGCTTACCCTTTACACTTTGTGTAACCTCTTCATGTACCGAACACACTCGTGTTTCAGTATGGCTAACGAGAACTACACACAGACATAAACAACAAACTGCAGGAAAATCTAAAGCCTGTTTGCAAAACAAAAATTTTTTATTTTTGATATTTGAAAAAAAAGCAACTAATTATTAAAAACTAAGGCATATAATAATAAAACGATGTAAAAAAAAGTGACATCATGAACTTTGGAAAAATTTCTTGTTTTGTTTCGTATTCCTAAAGTTAAATTTTTTTTAAAGATTTAGATGAAGTGGAACAAAACAGCTGTTTGGACATCATTTACCTAGGGACGATTTCCGTACAAACAGTGGTTTATTCTCTGGAATGTTACATACAAGAATGGTCATGTCGTCAATAGATTTCAGCGATTTTAAATTTGTAACAAAAAATAGATGTAGGCATACGGACGGAAAATTTTTGTAGAAATTTAAGATATAATTATAATATATTTACAATCGGAGATGGAAGTTTAATTATGTACAAACATTTTTTTTAGCATTGACAAAATACATTTTACAACCCGAAAAGTAAAAAAAAAAAAGGATTTTTTAATTTTTAGATTTCCAAGAATGTTCTAGATTCTAGATCTAGAGAACATTTTAAATTTTAATAGCATTTTAAAAATGATAAAATTTTTAGAGAGTAGAATAAATACATACAAGCTCTGAAAAGTAAATAAAAAAAAATTCCTTTGCAAAAATCAGTTTCATTATTAATTCAGCAAAAAGTAACGCACGACAGCCAGCAACAGGAGCAACATGGGTTTAGTTGGTCGCAGCAGGCCGCCTGCATCTGAAAAATACGGGAGCTATTTTTAGTAACGGTTATCTGGAAATTAAAAATAACATTTTAGCATTAGCGAAAGAAATATTATGAATTACTATAAAGAATATAATTGTAGGCATGTATGTAAGGTAGAGTGGCAGTCACATAAGGGGTGGCATGCTAGACAAAATAACATAAAATGTTTTTTAAAGATCAAACTATTGAAGAGCAGAAAACTAAAATTGGAATACAAATTTAAAAAAAAAATATCGATATGTGGCGTAGAGGTGGTTGCATGACTACGATATGTACTTGGATTAAGCTTTGATAAGGCCAGTCGTGTGTGTGGGGTCTGAGTGTGGTGTAGAAATCTGAGTATTCGATTGTGCAGGATTTTATTATGTGTGATTTCTGCAGACGTATTTTTGGATACTGTTGTTTTACGCCTCTGATTATTATGAATTGGTGCATTATTGGTATAAATTTTGTTAAAACTTTTTACAAGTGAATGGATATACTTACTGTATTTTGTTGTTGTAGGCAAGCGAGCTGTTGTCCTCGCTGCTCCAGTTTTGGGCGAGCTGGTACTCTCTGCTCCAGTTTTGGGCGAGCTGGTACTCTCTGCTCCAGTTTTGGGCGAGCTGGTACTCTCTGCTCCAGTTTTGGGTGAGCTGGTACTCTCTGCTCCAGTTTTGGGTGAGCTGGTACTCTCTGCTCCAGTTTTGGGTGAGCTGGTACTCTCTGCTCCAGTTTTGGGTGAGCTGGTACTCTCTGCTCCAGTTTTGGGTGAGCTGGTACTCTCTGCTCCAGTTTTGGGTGAGCTGGTACTCTCTGCTCCAGTTTTGGGTGAGCTGGTACTCTCTGCTCCAGTTTTGGGTGAGCTGGTACTCTCTGCTCCAGTTTTGGGTGAGCTGGTACTCTCTGCTCCAGTTTTGGGTGAGCTGGTACTCTCTGCTCCAGTTTTGGGCGAGCTGGTACTCTCTGCTCCAGTTTTGGGTGAGCTGGTACTCTCTGCTCCAGTTTTGGGTGAGCTGGTACTCTCTGCTCCAGTTTTGGGTGAGCTGGTACTCTCTGCTCCAGTTTTGGGTGAGCTGGTACTCTCTGCTCCAGTTTTGGGTGAGCTGGTACTCTCTGCTCCAGTTTTGGGCGAGCTGGTACTCTCTGCTCCAGTTTTGGGTGAGCTGGTACTCTCTGCTCCAGTTTTGGGTGAGCTGGTACTCTCTGCTCCAGTTTTGGGCGAGTTTGTTGTACTCGTTGAGTACAGAGGGTCCATTGTTGAAGCCAAACCAATCGCCAAGACTGAAAAAAAAATCCAAATTAAAGTAGGTACAGGACTAAGTTCTATGTAATCTTCTTTTCTTCAAGGTAATTCTGCGGCACGCACGTCATTATAAAATCTTTTAAATTTACTTACGTTTAAAAACTAATACAATTGATCCGTAGGGCCATATAGCTTACAATAAGGCCATAGAGCTAAATGTTGATGTAGCGCCATATATAGATGGCCATAAGTCCATATAGCTGACAATAGGGCCATAGCTGGGCCAAATAGCTGGCCATATGGCCATACAGCTGGCCATAGATGTAGAACCATATAGCTGACCATAAACGTAGAACCATATAGCTGACCATAGATGTAGAACCATATAGCTGTTCATAGATGTAGAACCATATAGCTGACCATAGATGTAGTACCATATAGCTGACCATAGATGTAGAACCATATAACTGACCATAGATGTAGAACTATATAGTTGACCATAGATGTAGTACCATATAGCTGACCATAAATGTAGAACTATATAGCTGACCATAGATGTATAACTATATAGCTGACCATAGATGTAGAACTATATAGCTGACCATAGATGTAGTACAATAAAGTTGACCATAGATGTAGAAGTACGGTAATATACTTGACCACAGACGTACAGCCATATAGTTGACCGAACATTAAAATCAATTTAAAGTTACCAAACAATAGAATACTTACCGAGCGATATCAGCATAAGTCCACATTTCAACACGAACTTCATCTTACTTCTCTTCAGTGGCAAAGCTTACAAGTAGACTTTTCAAATTTAAGTCTGCAGGCAAGGCCTCACAGATGAATAACAGAGTCTCGGCTGTGTTAGAAAGTCTTCGTCATTTATACCTTATTAGGTTCTCCCATGTGCTGATTGTTGTTGACAACTGGTTGTTGTTGACAACTGATTGTTGTTGACTACTAGCTGTCGTTGACAACAAGACTTTTTTTTTCGCTTTTTAAAGAGGTACGTTGAGGAGGACAATACTTCCGAAAAAGAGGTAGGGGGGGGGAATGGAGGAGGGGTATGAGGGAGGGGAATAGACAATTTTATTATTTTGTTTTTCCTTTTGTCCATTCTTGACGTCTGTAACGTGTTTGCTAATCAATTAAACTCTACATACATGGCATAAATAATCCGGGGGAGGGGGGGGGGGGTGTGCGTGGGTGGGCTATGAGGGGGACGATTGGGCTTTGTAACGTTAACCTTTCTATCAGCCAAATAGAAGGAGAACGTCCCCGGATTCTTTTTTCGGGGTCATATGCAAATGCCTTACGGCCTAAGTGGATGAACACTTAACACAACGACCACTAGGGCTCGAATTTAATGTCTAGGGAAGCTAGTGATACTATTGTAATTAACACTCATCCAATCTACATACGACCTTTTAATCAGCGAACTCAGTTGCGGCAAAACACAAGGCTGAACTAGATAAAATATTTAATGTATAAAATATCAAAAACCCAACTTACAAAATGTAGGAAAAATCCCTATCACAGATTTCTACACTGTCTAAAGAACAGCTACAGGCCACACAACACTGCTGTAGCTTCAGGAATTACTTAGCGACAAGTAATATTAAACTAGAAGACTAAATCAACTGAAGAAAGCAAGACACACACAGGTCTTAAGTACTCTCACGTTCAAATGGTCAGACTCTATAGCCGGACAATATGGACGGCTGCCTGATAGACTGCCAGGTCAAGAAAAACTGCCTGCGACAAGTCTCAAATGGAGACTCACAGATCACTCAAGGCCACTTGAGCTACTGTTATCGTGCTGGTTGTGTTTCCTATGGTGTGACACTTTACGTGGTTCTAACCACTAGGCCACTAGTGGTGTTCCTAACCACTATGCCACATTACTCGGCAGCAAGCCGAGTTTCTAAGCCACTAGACCACTAGACACCATAGACTCTACTCAGTTTCTCACCAAGTATTCGAACCTCGGCCGCCGCCGTGGCGCGCCGAGATCCTAGCCATTGAGCTATGGGGTAGTCATCTGATCAGAATCATTCAATCAGATTTTAATGGAAAATTTCTATGTCTCAGACACCTTAATAAGTCAGTGGAAAAACCCCAGGTGTTACACCATCATTCCATATAAGGAATTATACAATGTCAAAATAAAAATGACTCGACCTAAGTAGGTCACATCCCCTCCCTTTTTGGAAGTGACAGATAGGTTCCACAAAAACATACATAGGGAACCAATCTGGCAATGAAATAACAAAAATGTTTTACAAATGTAGGCAATCAAAATCATAATACCAGATGAAAATATCCCTGAACATAAAAGGGAAGTAACTCCAACTTTTACAATTGGTGAAAGGGGAGTAACCCTTCAAAAAGTAATTATACATCAAAATCCCTCAAAAAAGGGTATTACAATATTTCCATGTGGATATTAAAAGTGGTAAACCCGCCAGGGTAAGACCTTTATTTCAATGACTAGCTACAATATCAATTGAGTCATATGAGACATATTATTATAAAAGATTACATATAATCAAAAACCACCTTTAATTAAGGTTCACCTGAAAATAAACAAAATATTCAACAGGATTGGAATTTTGAAAAAAATTCAAAACTCACACCACTCATTTTCATATGAGTGACACTCAAACAAAACCTGTTTATGGTCCTAATGAACCACAAAACATGTCACATGATCAATGTGTGTAACAAGATTTTACATCCTTGACAAACAATCAGCCACAACATTATCACTACCCTTAATGTGTGAAATTTCCAGATTAAAATTTTGGAAATATAAGCACCATCTCAATATTCTTTGATTTGTCTGTCCTAACTTAGAGGTAAATTTCAGGGGATCATGGTCAGAAAACACTCTGACTGGATTGGTAGAAGAAGAGACATAGACTTCAAAATGTTGTAATGACAAAACTAAAGCTAAAGCTTCTTTTTCAATAGTAGAATAATTCTTTTGGTTTTCATTTAACTTCCTGGAAAAAAAGGCAATGGGATGGTCAATTCCCATGTTGTCTTCTTGAAATAGGACTGAGCCAATGGCTAAGTTGCTAGCATCAATGGCAAGTTTAAAGGGCATGCTAAAATTTGGTGCAGCCATAACAGGAGCATTTGATAAAAATGACTTAATGGTTAAAAAAGCTTCTTGACATTTATTGGACCATTCAAATTCAACACCCTTTTTCAATAATGCAGTAAGAGGTTCAGCAATAGCTGAAAAGTTTTGACAGAACCGCCTATAGTAACCAGCCATCCCAAGGAACTTTTTGATCTCTTTACAATTTTTGGGAGGTGGCAACTTTACAATAGCATCTACTTTAGCTTCAATGGGCCGAACTTGGTTCGTTCCCACTTGATAACCCAAATAGGTAATTGAAGCTTTACAGAAATCACTTTTATGTAAGTTTACAGTAAAATTAACTTCAGACAATTTTCTAAAAAGGTTAGTCAATTGAACAATATGTTCTTCAAAAGTATTAGAAAATACAACTATATCATCTATGTAGGCCTCACATTGGTCTATGTCAGCAATGACAGAGTTAATGACTCTCTGGAAAGTTTGACCAGCATTTCGCATACCTAAGGGCATACGTTTGTATCTATAAAAACCATTAGGGGTTACAAAAGCAGATATTTCTTTTGCACGGTCAGATAAGGGGATTTGCCAGTATCCTGAAAGTAAATCAATTTTGGAAATTATTTTAGCTTGACCAACTTTATCAATAACGTCCTCTATCCGAGGTAAGGGATAGGAATCAGCTTTGGAGAGCGCATTCACCTTCCTAAAGTCGGTCACAAACCTGAAAGATCCACCGTCTTTCGGGACTAGGAGACATGGGGAACTCCAGTTGCTGAGACTGGGCTCAATGATATCATTCTTGAGCATATAATCAATTTCATCTTTTATCAAAGCAGCTTTTTCCGGGTTAACTCTATAGGGGTGTTGTTTAATGGGTTTTGCGTCACCAACGTTTACATCATGAGGTGGAACTTTCGCTTCTTTGGGGACATCCCCAAAAATAGAGGGAAATGTCTCAAATAACTGAGACAATCTATGGCTTTCCTCTGTGGACAAATGCATAAGGTGGACATTCAAATTATCTAAAAAGGAAGAATTTACCAATTTTGGGGGTTTCAATTTATCATGTATCACATCATCAGAAACATTTGAACATACAGGTAAAGTAATTTTAGCTGTGGAATGAAAATTGTTACAATTATCATAATACTTTTTCAGTGAGTTGACATGATACACTGTCTGTTTCTTTCTTCTGTCGGGCGTATTGACAACATAGTTCAAATCACTTAATTTTGAATGCACAGTAAAGGGTCCACAATATCTCAAGGATAACGCATTGTTCAGAGTAGGTACTAGCACAAGAACTTTGTCGCCTGGATTGAATGTTCGTTTACAAGAACTCTTATCATACAGTTCTTTCATTCTCACTTGGGCCTTTCTTAAGTTCTTGTGAGCCATTTCGCACACGGCTTTCAGTCGAACGTGAAAATCGTCGAAGTTTTCCACTGGATGATCACTGGTACTTGTCCAACGTTCGTGTATCAGCTTCAGGGGGCCACGGACAGAATGTCCAAACACATGTTGAAAAGGAGAGTAGCCTAAAGAGTCCTGGACACAGTCCCTCGCGGCGAAAATAATCCAAGGAACAGACTCATCCCATTGGGTGTTACTATTAGCGAATGTCCTTAGTATGGTTTTGAGGGTTTGGTGAAACCTCTCAAGTACGCCTTGAGACTGAGGGTGGTAGGCTGAGCTGGTGATGTGGGTAACGCCTAGCTTGGCTAGTGCTTCCTGAAAATGGTGACTGGTGAAGTTGCTGCCTTGATCTGTTTGCACGATTCTAGGTAATCCAAAGGTAGTGAAGAACCGGGTCATGGCTCTGACTACAGTCTTTGCCTTAATGTTCCGTAAGGGAATCGCCTCGGGAAAACGGGTACTTGAACACATAAAGGTAAGTAGGTACTCGTTGCCCGCCTTGGTTTTAGGCAAGGGACCTACACAGTCCATGACGATTTTAGAAAAAGGTTCTTCTAATACAGGAATCGGACTCAAAGGGGCCTTAGGAATTGTCTGGATTGGCTTTCCGGCCAACTGACAGTTCGTGCAACTTCTACAGTAACGCGACACATCTTTTCTCATTTTGGGCCAAAAGAACAGTTCTTTGATCTTCGCCGTCGTTTTAGTGACACCTGGGTGCGCTGACATTGGATGGTCATGTGCCAGCTTAAGTATTTCATGCCGATAAGGTGGAGGGATCCACAGCTGGTTTTTACCCAACCATGGTTCGTCCGGTGAGGCAATCACTGGTATAGCGCGACGAAAGAAGAGGCCGTTCTCGGCGAAATATTCTCCATCGTCAGATGATAGAGATTTTTCGACCGTTGCTTTGAGTTCCGCGTCGACTTGTTGAGCTTTAATGATGTCTTCCTGAGATATCCTCAGGGGTAAGCCCAGGCTTGTTTTTTCTGGAAGCATAGACTCCAGTTTGGGAGTCGAATTTCTTGACGATGATGGTAGATGTGGTTCAGACGTTGTGTCAGCCAATTGTTTGGTCTGGCTTCTTGTCACCGCACATGCAGGATACAGTTCATAATCATTATCTGGAACTGTTGACAAAGGGTCTGAAACCGTACAGGGGTATACTTTGCTTCCCGCAAGGTCATTCCCTAGAAGTAGGTGTACTCCTGGGACTGGAATACTATCTATCACACCTAAAATGACCTCACCTTCGACGAGATGATGTTTCAAGGCAAACTTGTGTAGAGGGACGACAGTAGATTTTGTCCCCA